CACACACACATTGTAGGTATGTGTATATAGATGTAGATACACACAAACATATACACACAAACACACACAATAAAATACTATTCGGCCAAAAAAATGAAATGTCTTTTGCAGCAATGTGAATGGGACTGGAGACCATTATCCTAATAGAAATAACTCAGAAATGTAAATTCAAATGGCACATGTTCTCACATATTAGTGAGAGCTAAATAATGTGTACACACGACATAGAGGGTAGAATGATAGACACTGGAGACTCAGAAAGGTGGAAGGGTGGGAGCAGGAAGAGGGATGAGAAATTACTTCATGGGGACAATTTACATTATTCAAGTTATGGTTACACTAAAAACCCAGACTTCACCATGACACAATACATCCATGTAACAAAATTGCATTTGTATCCTTTATATTTACACAAATTAAGGAAAAAAGAAAACCTGTATTTCTGTTATAGGGTGAACACGGTGGCAAGAGACACCAATGAATAATAAATCTTAGCTTATTAAACAAAACTAGTGTGCCACTTGGTGACGCCACCTTGGTGCCTTCATACACACTTGCTTCCCAGATTTGATACCCCTTAGGAGGTGACACGTGAGATAGCACATTTTCCTAATGTGCTTCCGGTTTTGTCTTCAGAGTCTCTTGTGACTGGGAACCATGCAAGTGCCTGGACTGATTCATGGCTGAACCAAAGAAGCTCAAGTTTCAATGCCTCATAACTCTGAGGATGAATTGCAGTAACGCTTCATGCTTGGGGCAATGCAGGCAAACCATGTGCAGGTTGTAGCTATTAAGAAATTCAAGAGCATGACTGCTCAAGGGCAGTCACCCAACAAGGTCATAATATTCAGACAGCCTTCTGCCGGCACCACACCTGCTCCCAATCAGTCATCAGGAGTCTAAAAATCACAAGTTTCATGGAAACTATCACAGAACCACACTGGGAATAAGCCAGGATTTGCAACAAAAAGAATACTGGCCCATGTGTGGGCACACAGGCATGCCCACTCATGCAAAGTGAAAGAGAGCCACATCCATCAAAATAATACAACTCTTATTTTTGCTTTTTTAATACTTTGCCTTGAAAATGTACCTATAATTATCAATACAATGTAAGTCAAAGAGACCAGGCTATTTTCTCTGTAGCCTTTTCAATATTCCTACAGAGACCTAAATTCACTATACTTCTTGTGTTCACAAGGGTTTTAAAAGCACATTTTTTCATGTACCAAATATTAATAATACCAATTGATATGATCGATCATCCAAAATGCTATTTCAAAGCAATCATCATTATTGTTTTGGTCATAGTGGAGAATGTAGCTAGTTGCCAGCCTCTAAAGCGTATCTCAAGGCACTGCAACTCAAGTGGAAAGTGTAACAAAAACATGTGCTGGCCAGTTAAGCTTGGTATTTAAATGCAACACTAAAAATACATTTCACACCCAACTTCATCAATCACCAACCAATCCTACTTTGCATCTTGGCTACCAAAAGAAAATGGGATTTGTTTCCCTGAAGAAATATGTCACTGCTCTGCTTGAATTATTAAGCTTTACTATTACAGAGAGAAACAGAGTCAAAAAAGAAAATGAAAAGAAAAAAGGAAACAAAATTAGACCCAGGTTGCCATCTACAGACTGATAGAAGCATTGCTCATTCATACAGCATTTGGTAACTGAATCAGTAAATATCAATTTTACAAAAACGAAAAAATATGTGACTACAATTTTAATTATTAAAAAATCAAGATAACCTATGAAGTCTTTTTCTAATTAAAATGAAAATAGTATATAAGAACACTAGATCAAACATTTGCACAAGTTAACATATGCTAGAAAATAATCATAGCTATTCACCCTAACCCTAAAATTTATCACTTTGAAATAAAACTAAACAGCTTATTTAATATCAATTTTAAAATACATTGTAAGTAGGAAAAGCTATGTAAATTTTATCTCTAAAACCAAATTTTTGCATTTTACGTTATTATGAGTTCTTACACCCTTCACTTTCATTTTGCTTCAAATTCTTATTGCTTTTACCTTTCTAAAGAATAAGAGCCCTCTTGAAACATGAGTATTTAAAAGCACATACTCGGTTCTAATTACTAAAATAGATGACATTAAAGTAAAAAGCAACTTTAATAATAAATGAATATGAAGGCTGAATTAAAGAGAGAAAGGGAGAAGGGCTTTTGATATTATAATCTGGAAAATTTCTATAGTCAAAGACATCTGCAGGGAGATCCATTAAGAACCAAATTGCTCAATTTTCAGTAGTATGGACTTAAGCTCATATGCTTAAAATTATCAAGTGACGGTTTAATCTAGTGAACTGCACAAAATCCTTTTTCATTTTTCCTGGAAAAAAAAATTGTCTTTGGAAGCCAAGATTCATTTGCCAGGTTATATGTTCTTTCTATACAAATGAAAAGATACAAAATGCTTCTAGATCAGTGGTACAAGCCTGTTAGTGGAGGAAAAACAAAAAAAAATTCATTCCCTAAAACCTTCCTTTAAAAGACATCAGTAGCGTTTCATGTCACGAGATCCAGCGGTTTAAAAACCTATAATACGCACATTATAAAACCACATTGGAAAATGTAGACTTAAAATGGGCTATTATATCTAAAACAACTACAGAATTATCTAAAGAAAAAAATAAAAGAACAGGAAAGCGTACACCTTTTCTTTTTAAAATACTATTTGCTTCAATATTAAACACGTTTTTTCACACCCACCAACACAAATGTTGTTAAAAATTACTTCTGGATTTCTACAAAAGCAAAACTACCAATAACTCAATTTTTTTTTCTCTTTTTTTCCAGGCAGGGTCTCATTCTGTCACACAGGCTGGAGTGCAGTGGCAGGATCATGGTTCACTGCAGCCTCAGCTGCCTGGGCTCAATTGCTCTTCCCACCTCAGCCTCCCAAGTAGCTAGGACTACAGGTGTATGCCACTATGCCCTGCTAATTTTTTGTATTTGTTTTGTAGAGACAGGGTTTGACTATGCTGCTCAGGCTGGTCTCAAACTCAAGCAATCCGACTACCCGCCTTGGCCTCCCAAAGTGCTGAGATTACAAGCATGAGCCACTGCACCCAGCTAAGAATTTGACTTGTTAATGAAGGTTACTTTCCTATGAACAAGCAATATGTTAATACAGCCTCTTATGTTCTCAAGTTTTTACAAATGAGATAACCTGAGAAGATGATCATTCTCTTTCTTTCAAGGGACAACTACCTAATTTAAAGACTTTTTAAACATACCCTGGAAGTAAGGATTGGGATTTCTATAGGCTAACAAGAACCTCACAGAAAAGAAGCAAGTAACATCTTATAAAAGGCTTTTAACAACAACAACAACAACAAATGAAAAGTTTAAGACAGGTCCTGTTTCACAGTGGGTATTAAAATATTACAGAATTAACTATTTTTTAAACTTCCATCATTCATTCACTCAACACTTATTAAGTGCCTCGTATCTATCAGACTGTGCCAGTTGCTGGGAATAAGAAAAAACTAGTAGGACATAGCCCAGGGCTTTGGGGGCTTCACAATCTAATAACTATTAATTTTTTAAAGCCTCTCTCATTTTCAGTGCTCAAGGTAGGGTATGTTCTTCAGGCCTAATTTGTTTTCTTTGATTCCTGTCACATAATAGTCACTCGGTAAATATTTGCTGACTGTATTACACCCTAGCCTCCTTGTTCTCTACTCACGGGAAAGGACTGTACAAATTTCAAGATAATCAAAACTTTAAAGAGAAATCTTAATAAGAACCCACATTTTTCAGACAGATAATGGAGCTAAAGAAAAAAAAGTTAAATGAGTTGCCCAAGGTCCATGGCAGAGCTGGGATGAGAATCTAGGACTCCTGACTTCCAGCTAGTCTCCATCATTTAGGTCTTTGATGATTTAGACCCCTCCACTTCTCTATGGAACTGGTTCACCCATTTTGCCTGTTCTTTTAACCTCACCTCACGCATCTTTGTTCTGACTCTTTAATCATTTGTGCAGCTTCCTCTAAACCCTCACAGGAGTTCAAACTGTCTCCTCAGCTGTGAAGTTCATATTAGCTCTAATACTAATGTGACTCTTCATATCGACTTTGAAATAAGCTGGAGCTCCCAGGTGGAAGATAGGGCTTTGCCCATTAATCTGAAACCTGATTCCATCAGTCCTCTTCCTGGCACCCCTCACTGTTCCACGGGTAGGGGGGGTGGGGGTGTGTGTGAGGGGATCTCAGGGCAAGAGGAGCAGTAGCCATTCCCACTGGTCTGCTTTCCAGCCAGTCATTCCCACCCCAGCATCACTCCACTCTGAGAACACGCTGGCAATAAAACCAAAAATCGACCCTCTTCACAAAAACCTAACATCAAAGTTAACAATGTTCATTGCACACTTCCTTAGTCTACCACACTTTTATCTCATACCAGTGAAATCTTGGACTAATGCAATTTTTTATTTTATTTTATACCATCTCTCACCTGCTAGTGCAAGATGAAACTACATCTAATTTTGCTGAATAGGTTATTGTTTACTGATAAAATGTTATGTCTGTTCAGTATTCTCATGGTTATCAGTATAATTAACAAAATGACTTTTCAGGAAAGATGATCTTTGACTAATAAATCATAATGAATGTGGTCAAGGGCTACAGACACACAAATAAGAGACCAATATCATAGTAGTTGTAGGTAAAAATATTAATCAAGCAATATCAGTGGGAGCAAAGGACGAAAAAAATGTACTTTTAAAATAAGACTACCACAAGACACATTTGATCTCAAAACAAGTATCCTCATGGCACAACATCTAATTGCAAATAAAAACCAAGCATAAAAACAGCAGCATCTCTCATATACAAATACAATTTTCTTTGAAAACTCTCATATATGAAAATAAGGAATAGCTTCTGTGGGCCCAGAGAAACAATGGATCTATTTAAGAATTAAAATTGTATCACAGCCTTAAGATAATAACAACAATACACTTACCACTGTTTGGAATGGTTTCTTGTGAATTCTTTAATTTTACATTTTGTTTCACTTTCATCAGTTTTTCTGAATTCACATCTTCTCTTTTCCCTTTCCTCTTCGGGGGCTGAGGAGATGAGTTGTCACTGGATCCAATTGTTGACTTAGATTGGCGATCATTTCCCTAAATGGCAAAGTATTAGACCTTTATTACTAGCTAATGAACTCTCAAAAAGATTCCCAGTAAATACATGTCATTAACTATTGGTAAGCAGGGCAGGGGCAGGGAGGTGTATTGTCCTGGTTCTACAACTGTCCATCTTTATACATTAACTCCAAATGTATCTTCCTGGAGGCAAAAGGGTCTAGCAGAGGAAGGAGGATAAAAATAATAGCTAACAATCACTGGGTTTTTTTAACATGTACCAGGTATTCTATAAAATTGTATTCACTCAATCCTCATGCTAGCCCTAGTTACCAGCTCACTAGCCTCACGCTAGTGAGATAGACACTACTGTTACCACATCACTGTGTAGATGAGCAAGTGGGCTTTAAAGGATAAATCTTGTGTAAAGTCCTGTAGCCAGTCAGGGGCAAAGCAGCTGCCTCCAAAACCACTGTAAATCCACAGCCTTAACAATCCTCTCACTCCTGCACCTTTCTGCAGAATCAGCCAGTGTCTATTGGATGAGAATTGGTGACTTCCCCCAGAGTGATCAATTAATCTACAAATACCTTCTTAACAAGTTGTCGCTATGGGTGTATGGATGTTATCCTACAAGCAGCCATACACTGTGCTTGTAGAAATTCTCCAAATATTAATGAGTCTGTTGGTGACCACCACGGTCTCTAAGAATCGCAAATCCAGAGCAACACACAGACTCAAGAGGCTCAGGACCACATGTCCCCACTTGTTCCTGAGGGAGCTGCGCAGCTGCTTGCCCCTACTCCTGCAAGGCAGCCAGGGTGATCACACCTTCCATGGTTATCTCTAGTCCCCATGTGTCTCTCACAATGAAGACCCTGTGGCTGCCAAAAGTGGACTCCTCCACACAAGAGGGAGGTTGAGTTTCAGTGGCTCTTATCACTGGGCCAGTACATTCCCTGGGGAGCCACATAACAGCCACTGCATTGGGGGCTACTGCAAGGAACAGCTGTGCTGATACTAAGCCTCTGCTTGGCCACTGCTACAGCAAGAAACTGCCTCTTGCCAGGCATGGTAGCTCCAGACTGTAGTCCCAGCTACCTAGGAGGAGAGGTGGGAGGATCACTTGAAGTCAGGAGTTTGACACCAGCCTAAGCGTAGTCCCAGCTACCTAGGAGGAGAGATGGGAGGGCCACTTGAGATCAGGAGTTTGAGGCCAGCCTAAGCATAGTCCCAGCTACCTAGGAGGCAGAGGTGGGAGGGCCACTTGAGGTCAGGAGTTTGAGGCCAGCCTAAGCATAGTCCCAGCTACCTAGGAGGCAGAGGTGGGAGGATCACTTGAGGTCAGGAGTTTGAGGCCAGCCTAAGCAACATAGCAGGACCCTCCATCTCTAAAATTAAAAATTTTAAAAATCAGCCTGGTGTGCTGGTGCATGCCTATAGCCCCAGCTACTCAAGAGGCTGACACAGGAGGATCACTTGAACCCATGAGTTTGAGATTGCAGTGTGCTGTGATCATGCCACTGTACTCCAGCCTGGGCCACAGAGTGAGACCCCCATCTCTAACAAAAAGAAAAGAAAAAGAAAAAGAAACTCCCTTTTACTAAGGCAGTCTTGGCTCTCAGATGCTCAGGTTCTAAACTTACCTGAGAGTATATGGTGAGAGGCTACAGATAGTGGGAAAAATGCAAGTTTTAGAAACCCCAAATACATGGCTGAGAGCTCTGCCACTGAACACAAGGGGCCATGGGCTAACTAACTCTTAATTTCCCTAAGCCTCAGTTTCCTCATTATTTGGGTGGAATTAATGTACTTGCCTTTGGGTCTAGCATGAGGATGCAATGATAAGGCTTATGGAGTGACTAGTACAGTGCATGATGTATAGTGTTGGTTAAATAAGTATCAGAATGCTTTCTTCAAGAGCAGAGAGTTAATCTTTTTCTTAAAAATCATTTCAAACTCATACCATATTGAGTGTAATCTTTATGCAACATCTGTACTATGCTTCTGTCTAAAAGTAAATGTAGTAATATTAAATAAACAAATCTGCCTAGAAAACTATTATAACTGTTCATTTTAAACATTTATATATTCAGTCATCCAGAAGCATTTAAATGGATTTAGCCATCATCCAATTAGGAATAGAAAAATTCACAGCTTTACAAATGAAGTTATTTATGCTATTTTGTCATAGCCTACAAGTAAATGAATTATGCATAGGTTTATTAACAGTATGAAAACTTGTCCAAATCTATAACACTTTTTGTGTAATTTAATTTCCTATTCCAACTGCAATTTAAACATACAGTTTCCATTTAATTATTATGGCAACTGCAACCAGAGGTTTCTTTTTTCTTTTCTTTTCTTTGAGGATTCTTTCTTGAGAATCTTAAGCTCTTCCATAAACTGTCTGGCAGAAGAAATAGATATATGATTATAGTAGAGGTTCCAAAACCATCAGCCAAGTCTCATAGTCCCTTTTATTCTCAATGGAGTCTTTCATCCCAAGATTTTAATATTTTAGTTTAGTTTAGTTTAGTTTTAGATGGAGTCTCAGTCTGTCATCCAGGCTGGAGTGCAGTGGTGCGATCTCAGCTCACTGTAACCTCCACCTCCTAGGTTCAAGCGATTCTCCTACCTCAGCCTCCCAAGTAGCTGGGATTACAGGTGCCCGCCACCACACCCAGCTAAATTTTTTTGTATTTTTAGTAGAGACAGGGTTTCACCATGTTGACTAGGCTGGTCTTGAACTCCTGACCTCAGGTGATCCGCCCACCTCAGCCTCCCAAAGTGCTGGGATTTACATGCGTGAGCCACCACACCTGGTCGATTTTTAAAATTTTAAAGCTTTAGATGAGAGGATCAACCTTTCACAAGCAGTTAGCAAGCTTACTAGAATGTTCTGAGTTGCTGTTGAACTTGCAAGGACTGGAATGGAACCCAATGAATGAGAAACCCTGGAGCTCAGCAGGATCATTTTCTGCAGCTCTCTGGGGAAAGCATTACTCACAAAGGGGCACGAAAAGGGAGACACAGAAGCCCCACTCTGGAGTGCATGTCATTCTAAGTCACCTCTCTTGTTTATGAATAGAGAGGAATGTTCTGATTTATCAAATTTCTGATAAAAACACTCAAAAAAGCATAATTTTGGAGCATTAAGAAAGACTAATTGATTCAAATAACTACATAATGCATAGATTTGGCAGTTGACACTCATACATTCAATTATTGAGTAATAACTAATTTCCAGTTCCCATGAAAATGTGCCAAAAACATGTAGACCAAAAAACATCCAATTTAAAATAATTTTGTGAGAAGTTTGCCTCAGTGAGCAGCCTTCACAATGTGTGTATTTCATGGGTGCACCCAGAGACATTATAAGCTGGGGGTGGTGGGCAGGGACTAGATGGTGACTCCACCTGACATTTCTCTCATCTGCATATCTGGTGATGACAAGAGTAAGAAGCCCTTTTACCTATACCAGCTTCAGTTCCCCCATGGCAAAATGGAGTTTGGGAGTGTGAGGAATTTATCTTAATATGTTTATAACTTGCTTCACAGTAACACTGTGATACTTGGATAATAATGAAATTTTTAATCAAAACCTTATAAATCATAATATTTGATCCTGTAAACTACTGACCATAAGACGTATAAGTCAAATGGTAATAAGGACAACAAAAGATCACATAGTCCTTGGTTTTCACTTTCAAATACTTTCCTGATTTTTTTCATCTTTTCCAACAGAGGGTGCTGTGATTCTACCTGGTGTCACCTTGCCACTGGAAAACAGCCTTCTGCAGATAGGTATATTTTTCAAGCTCAGGGAATTTAAGATAATTTATTTACATCTTCCTTTTGCTTTTAAGGCTAGAATCACAACTTAAAATTTTCCTCAACGTGCTAATTTCTGTGACTCGGGCAGCACTGAGTCTGTATAAGAAATGACTTCTGGTCTGTCTTGCTTTGCACAAGGCATTCCCCTGGCTCCCTGACCGACTCAATTATGCACCAGCAGGGGTCCCTGTGTACACTATGGCAGCTGCTTTCTCTCCTTCCCTCTCAAGTTCTACCAGTCCCTCATCCACACTCTCTTCTATATGCAAAAGAGCAATTCCTAGAAAGCCATGTAGGAAAAAATAAATTTCTAAAACTCTAGTTCTGTGACCACTTTGATTTGCATCATGAGCTTAGGGTGCCCTCCCCATTGATTTTGCAGTGGTTCCTAAAGCTGGAAGCTAAGCTCTCCCCACACAGTCCCCTTCACTCACACCCCTCCTCTCAGTGCCAGGCAGCTAATGATCTATAAAATGCATGCATTCTCCAGGGAACCGATTCATTAAAGGAAAGGAGTAAAATAATCCTGTTAAAAATCGAGCTTGTGACTTTGGATTTACTGGCATAGGAAGTTCTGTGTGGCTCAATGCCAAACATTCACACACTGCCTAAGCCAAGTTAGTGAGAACTTACCAAGCACCAGGCACTGTGCCAGGGGTTAGTCTCCTCTACTCAAATGTAACCTCCTGAAAGAGGCCTTTCCAACCTCCCAGCTGAAATAGCACCTTCTCTCACCTCCTCTTCCCATGTCTTCATGTATTTTTATTCGTGCTTATCCCTGATGTATATCACATGTATTGTACATTTGTTTCTGGAATGTAACCTCCGTGCATTTAGTACTTTAGAATCTCTGGGCCCTGAAGCACCAGAACAGCGCCCAGGACATCATATGAACTCAATAAATAGTTGTTGGATCAACGAATCAATCAATGACCATATACTCAAAGAAGAGTTATAATAGATGTCCGCCCCACTGCAGCCACCTGTCAGACTCACCTGTATGTGTCCCACTGCCTCCTGCATCTATTCTTGCCCCGACCCATTTCTCTATAGATACCACAGCCAGAATGAGCACTTAAAAATGTAAAGCAGGCCAGGCATGGTGGCTCACACCTGTAATCCCAACACGTGAGAGGCCGAGGCAGGTGGATCATAGGTCAGGAGTTCAAGACCAACCTAGCCAAAATGCTGAAACCCCGTCTCTACTAAAAAAAAAATACAAAAATTAGCTGGGCGTGGTGGCGGGCGCCTGTAATCCCAGCTACTTGGGAGGCTGAGGCAGCGACTTGCTTGAACCCGGGAGGCGGAGGTTGCAGTGAGCCAAGATCATGCCTGGACAATACAGTGAGACTTGGTCTCAAAATTAAAAAAAAAAAAATTTAAAGCAAATGATACCATTTCCTCCCTATAACCTTCAAATGGCACCCCATCAAGAAATAAAATCCAAACTTTTTGCATGCCTGCATGATTGAACCCTGCCTGCCTCTCCAATTTCATTCATGGCCTTCTTTCTTCCCTCCTCACATGCCAGGCTCTTTAGCAAGGGCCTATGTGACTTTCTTCTGTCTTGGATGCGCTTCTTCCCCTGCCTCATCCCTGACACAACTGGCTCCGTTACATATCATTAAGGTCTCAGTTTCAGACAATTTTATATACATCATGTCCTGCCACATTTTATTTTCCCCGTAGCACTTATCACCATCTGAAACTATTTGTACATTTCTTTATTAGTTGATCATCCGTCTACTCCCATTCATCCCATCCATACCCCCGACCAACACACACACACGCGCGTGCATGCACACACACTAGAATCAAAGCACCATAAGTCCAAGTCCTTGTCTATCTACCACTATACACTCAGTGCCTACAGTAGTTCCTGGCACTTAGTAGGAGCTCAGTGAATATGTTTGGAATGGATGACGGATGGAATGGATGAATACACGGTGCTATGGGAACACTGTAGAAAGAGGGACAAACTCTGCTACCATTTTTGTAAATCATAGCATGGAATGTTTGACAACTTTGCTTTCTATGTGATGCAAATATACCTTATAACTCTGAGTCTTTGTTTAACATCACTTCCTCCATGAGGCCTCTCCTGACACACCTATCTAAATGTATTTTTCTTTTATTGTCTCTCATATTACTCTACACTTTTCTTTCATTTTTATCATACTTCATAAATATCTATTGATTTATGGAATCGCTTGTTTCACCTTTGTCTCCTCAAGTAGACCATGAGTATCAGAGAGAGCATCAGATCTTTGCGCTCATTGCTATATTCCTGGGGCTTACTACTGTGCCAAACACGTGGAAAATTCAATCAGATGAACTGATCTGATGACCTTGATGTATCACAGTATTCACAGCACACAGTCTAAAAAACTTACAAATGAGCAAGAAATAAAATTGCATGTGTGTACCTACACATGCATTTTAAAGCAGAAAAGGCTCTACACGTTTTTAATGAAAATTTTAGTTTTTCAAATTTCACAATAGTAAACATATCACTCAATCCAAAGTTCAGTCACTGTGAATACAAAGAGTTGGGTCATGACTTTGGTCCTGACATCGACTTTCCCTGTGACTTGGGGTCAATTTATTCAATTACAATGGGTCTCTGTTTAACCATCATTCCTCTAGCTGCAGGGTGAGAATTAACAAGCTAATATCTATATAGTACACAGAAGGGATTCTGCTACAAAGTCCTAAAGAAAAACAAAAAAAAGCAAAATACAATTTCCAATCCCTAATTTCATGAGTATTATCTTTATAGTTGCTCTGATATTGTTTTCACCTACTAAAATATTCTTCTCACTCCTCTTTCACCCCACACCTGTGAAGTTAGGTTGCCTCAAGTCTGGGCCCTCTGTAGTTCTCACTGCACCATCTTCCTCGAGGATCCCCTCATCCATTCTCTCACTTGGCAGCACCAGTGAGACCTGCTCTGTGCAAGCTGTGCCAGGTGATGAAGTACCACAGTGACGCTATGTCTGCTATTCAACTGGGACCATTACATGGCTGATCAAATCTACAACTCAGGCCAGGTGCAGTGGCTCACACATGTAACCCTAACACTTTGGGAGGCCAAGGTAGGCCGATCGCTTGAGCCCAGGACTTTGAGAACAGCCCGGGCAACAAGGTGAAACTCTGTCCTTACAAAAAACACAAAAATTAGCCAGGCATGGTGGCACATGGCTGGAGTCGCAGCTACTCAGGAGACTGAGGTGAGAGGATCGCTTGAGCCTGGGAGGTTAAGGCTACAGTAAACCATGATCATGCCACTGTACACCACCCTGGGTGACAGAGTGAGACCCTGTCTCAAAAAAAAAAAAAAAAAAAAAAAAAAAAGCCTGTAACTTTAGTCCTGATGCCCTTGTCAGGCCTCAGCTCTGCCATTTACAACTGCTTGCAGCACACTTTCAACTAAGTTTCCTGATGATACTTCCAACTCAACATGTTTGAAATTACGTAGTCATCCTTTGCTCTGGCTGCCCTCTTCATGGCCATAGAACTACCATTTTCTCAAATTCCAAGCTTAAAAACCTGTTATCTTTGGCCCCAACCTCTCCATTAACCCCTTGTATCCAATCATCACACAAATCCTTTGTCCCTTGGTTTCTTCCAGATCATCACTTCCTGCTGCCTCTGCCACCTCCCCAGTCTAGGCTCCTTTCCCCTCATACCAAGATAGCTGCAACTGCCTCATAGCCATCGACTTATCTATGGCTTCTCACCATGTGAATTCTTTCTCCATGTAAAAGATCTGATGTTCCCAAAATGGACTCAGATTAATACTATCACCTCTCAGAAGCCCTTGTGGGCTGCCCTCTATTCAAGGATGAAGACTAGACTTTTCATTCTGCTATTCAAGGTCATGTAATAACTGCTACCACCTACCATGTCAGGCACATCAGCCCCCACACCAAAACGGACCATCTGTTCCAGTCAGCCCAAGGGACTCACTGTCCCAGGGCTCGGGAGCAGGAGCTCTGAGCTGGCTGTGTGGATGCAATTCCTCCCCTGCCATTTGCTCAGCAGGAGGCTTTGTTTGTATTGTGTTGTACTTTACGTTATTTTGTTTCTTTTTTTTTGAGACAGGGCCTCACTCTGTGGCCCAGGCTGAAGTGCAGTGGGGCAATCTCTGCTCACTGCAACCTCCGCCTTCAATGGGAGCCTTTGAACCTGTCACTTCTACTCTGTGTAATTCCTTTTTTCATTCCTTCTTAAATGTAGATGACAAAGGTGCCTGCCTTGTGGGGTGAGGTTAAATAAATCACTACTGTAAAGAGCTTGTCATAGTGCTGAGCCCTCAAATGCCTGGTAAATGTTAGCCAGCATGACTGCTTCTTCGCATGCCATCTGCCCCGTTCCTCTCACCCTCCCTTGGATCTGAAGGTCCTCTCCCCTCATCCACCTTTTTCTGAATTTTAAACAGTTTCAAAGGCAGAGCTCAAATTCAACTTCCTCTGTGGACTGCTGCCATTGTACATTCATTCCTTCCCTCCCTCTCATGGTCACCAATCTCTAGATATTTGGTGTTTAGCATTAGCTTGTTTGTTGCCTTTTTAAGCTATCTTCTTTATTTCAAGTAGATTATAAGTTGCTTGAGGGCAAGAGCTCTATTGATTTTTATTTTATTTTTGTCATAAATAGTACGAGAGTCCCAGCTAATGAGTTCTTAATAAATATCTGTTATACTGAGTTTGGCATTACTTACGTATACAAAATTATTTTTCTTTCTTTCAAGAATTTCACATGATATAACCAAAAAAAGGAGGGATCTAAATCATCATTAGGAGACAATATCATTGCCTAGAAATCATTTACTTTACAAAGTACCAAAATAAGAATGTTGCTTAGTTAATTCAGGGTGTGGGTGGAAGATGTCAAATCAGTTCTGATCACAACTTGCCGGGTAATTCAACCAAAAGGGAAGAAAGAGAAGCTTCCGCCAGGAAGAACTGCCAAGGCAACACTCTGGCATGACATGGAGCTCACTCCATCAGGGAGCACAGACTGAAAATACGAGTAGGTTAGGAAATTACCTACTAAATGCTGTCATTGCTCCCACAGAGTAGGTATTTAAAAATGTTTGCTGAATTAACAATAAATAAATGATAAATGGAAATATTCAGATGGCAAACTAAATACTTGGAACAATTCTCAATCTTTTAAATGAACATTAACAACGATTACCCCTTTTCTCACCAAAACTTCCCTTTCAGTCTTTGTTAAAGATAGAAACCAAGACTGGATGATCATTGATGTGACCTACTACATCAGTTCTTATAGTTTGATGTATTATTGCCAAGATTTTAAGTGCAATATAAATTATGTCAGGTGTATACACAAGGAAAAAAATTAAAAATACATGTTCTAAAAAACGTTAGCTCTGTTTAGGACCATAAGTGTAACACTGAAGTTCTAGTGCTGTTTCACTTAATTGGTTATACACCACAAAGCCGCTAAGTTTTATCTCTTGGAACTTAATTGAAACCCAAAGGACAGTCTCTTTGTATCATATAAAAAATATAGAAAATTAACGAGGAAACCATCTGATACTTACACTCCCTTTAGACTTTCTGGATCCTACAATAGGAGGTAGTGAAGAAGCTTTCTGACTGTGGAAACAAATTGAAATTTAGAAATCTGAATGTTGTTTACAAATAATGTACAATGCAAGATAATTAACATCCCCACCTGGAAGTCAACTGTTTACTGCCGTGTTTCACAAAAGGTAGGTAACATACACTTTAACATATACTTTCCCAATTCGCAAAGATCATAAAATTTCCAAACTCCATCCCAAAAGATTTGTGATGTTTTCCTGTATACTATTTTAATCAATGCTTACAAATAAACTTTTAGTATCGCCTGAAGTTTGTATAGCATTTTTATCCAGATCCCAAAGTGTTCTATTTACATTTCAAAAAATTATTCCCAAATGTGAATAATGATTTTTCCAGACTGAGTTAAAAACAAATTTTCTTTGTTTCTGTGATGTCTCCTATCTCTACCTCTGATAGAAGAGCAGAGATAAAACGCTGGCATTTGCATTCAGGTAGTTTTTAAACAAGTTGTCCTCACCAAAAAATTAAAAATTCTTTTAGGCTGTAAGAGTAGGTTGTTTTGTTGATAACTGTATTATTAGGAAAAGACCCATCTTGAAACCCAACTGAATCTCTCCAAAAATAGGACACATATATAAAAAAATTCTTATTAATTGTATGAGAAAGGCCAACGTGAGTTACAGTTTTCTTATTACCATCAAGTATGCACTGTTGTTCACAGCAGGTTAACCCAGGGTTGCCTAGCAAAGATGGCTAAAGGATTTGATTTCATGGATGGGTAACGTTGGTTAGCAATAAGTCCGTTGGTAAATAATTCAAAAGTGCTAGAAAATCATGTGCTCTTGCATAGTCCAAACACCACCCCTGAAATTCCATTTCATCTATTACTTATTTAGAAGCTCTTGGCCAGCCTCTCCATCAAGTTACACAAATTGTGAATTAATTGCAAACACACTGGTGATATTCTGCTCTATCTCTGCAGATGACAACCACAAAAAAAAATTGGTTTGCAATGGCAAGGTGGCCACAGAATCTCTGGGAGAAGCAACAGAGATGGATCCCTGGGCACCATGAGCAAGCCGAGAGGTCTTGCAGCAAGGGCCAGAGCTCTTATTGGGTGACTCCACAATGTATCTCCTCAGCTGAAATAAAGCATCTTTCACAAATATATGATGTTTCATGGAGAAAAACTGTTTACAGTATATTGCAATTAAAAGTATAATCCTTAAAATCTTACATGCATTAACTGTATACCCATCCTCCCTATTTGCATAAGTGGGATTATGTTGTTTTTATATTTTACAGTTATTAAAACAAGTATAAAATATTATGGGTTTTTTAACACTCTTGGATGTTTCTATCCAAACCAACTGAAAAGTTATTCGGTCTAGCAACTATTAAGACACAAAAACTTCTAATAATGTTTGCTATAGAGAAGCTCATTGCCCTGTATCTTCTTCACAATAATAAATTTTTGTATTTACTATAAATTTCACGCATGCTAAAAAAAAAATGTAGTCTTTCATAACTTCCCAGAAATTATATTTTTGTGCAATAGCTCTCAGTCTCCCATCATGGCAGTAAAAACAAAGATCAATGTATACCATATATGCTTTCCATTCTAAGTGAATAAATAAGATTATCAATTACATAAAATATAATGGTGGTCAGCAAAAGACCCAGTGCTACTTCAAGTGATAACTAAAGCATGAGGAGTGGTAAGGATTAAGACTTACCCAAAAGGCCTTCTCATGGTTGACTTGTCAAAAATTAACTCACTGTAAGGCAGTTTCTTAAACTTATCTCTTCCAACAGCCACATAAAACTGCCCATTCTCCAATTCTGCTCCATTCTCAATAAGTTTTCCTTCTAAAGTATAAAGTCTGTCAAAAATATGAACACCAACAATTAGAATTTTAACCAACATTTAAAGAACTGCTTAAGATTACAAAGTATTCTGGATGTCAAAAAAATAAAATTACATAGTAAATAAAAACATTCTGTGCTTAATTTAGCTCATTTGTTACTATTCTCATTATTGCATTATAGATGCCTCAAAGTCAATAGATTCCACTAAATGCTAATGTTATAATGCAGATACAATGACTATCTGGCTGTACAGGGTTTCATCCCAGTGAGCCTGATGATCTGGCATAAGCATCCCTATTGCTGCCATATTAAAATTTTAGAGGAGAAAAATTTACTTGTACAGATCACAGTGCTTTAAATAAAGCTATGTTTCCATTGAACATTGATCCTTCTATTTATATTTCGTTAATACTTTTAAATTGTATTTTCTTAGCGTATTCATCAGACTGACAAGTTTCTGACCATATTCTGTGTAACAGCAGCCCTCAACCAAAGTATTACATACAAACACACAGAGAACCAGGTCAGGAACAATGGCGTGAGCGGGCAGGAGGTAAAAGAACCCATTGCCAGTGTTAATGATGCAGAACTGCATAGCATTCGTGCTTCTTTCTTTTTTTGCCGTCCCCATTAAGCAAAAAAAAGAGTGAACATTATATCTTCCCAGAATCGAGCAGTTTCACAATAACCTTCCTTTACTGTAAAACTGCTGCTATGAACTACAATTAATATGTTACTTATTAAAAGAACAGTCATAATTTTACCAGATGATTTTAAATGTCCACAGAATTTTTTTTAAAGAACAGGAAAGTAAGTATTAGAAAACTAAACCAGAAAGACGTTGCATATTTTTTAAGGTTGTAAGCAAGAGCTATTAATAAACAGAAGGATTTCAGTATCATCAAAAAGCTTTCTGTCTTCCTATATTACATAATAAGATTAAATGTCATTTAGGGGCAAAAAATAAATAAACAAAACATTGACCTGTCAGCTTGTTTCCTTATTACATAAATGGCCATGTTATACAGAACCATGAAATACAATGAAAATAGCCACCAACATTCCTGAAATGTATTTGTGTTTTTAGTTAGTATACAGATGGTAAAGTCTCCTTCTTTATAACATTGTACCTCTACTCCTAACAAGTCTAAATATCAACACTTAACCCAGAATTCCATGTTTTCTGCCTTAACTTAGGCTGGGCATGGTGGCCCATGCCTATAGATCCAGCTACTTGGAAGGCTGAGACAAGAAGACCACTTGAGCCCAGGAGTACAAGACCAGCCTGGGCAGCATAGTGAGATGTTATGCCAAAAAACACTTGACCAGGGTTTCAAAATACTGGCATTATTGACATTTTGGACCAGATAATTCTCTGTTGGAAAGGTGAGTAGGTTGCCCTGTACATTGTAAGATGTTTATTAGCAGCACCCTTGGCCTCCACCCACTAAATAGTAGCAGAAGCCACCCCATCCCCAGTTGGGACTACCAAAAATGGTTTCGGGCACTGTCAAATGTGCCCAAGGGACAAAATCATACCTGCTTGAGAGCCAATGGCCTAGACCCAAGCATTCTTTTTCCACTTTTCTTCAAAATAGTTATATCTCAATCAGTAGTAATTTCACAGCTAGAAATTAAAAGCCAGCATAGCTGCGGACTCTAGAAACAGCCAAGATTTGACTTGTTTCCTCTGCAGGTAGGTAGAATGTAGTGAATAAATTCTTTTTGTTAATAGAGACAAGGTTTTGTTATGTTGCCCAGGCTGGTCTCAAACTCCTGGGCTCAAGTTATCCTCCCGCCATGGCCTCCCAAGGTGCTAGGATTACAGGTGTAAGCCACCACACCTGGCCCGGCACTGAATAAATTCTAATTCATGATTTTAGCCTTCTTTTATATAACTGTTGTTGGTCTATGTTCTTCTTTTGCTACAAACACAAGAAACATAAAAAGCAAGTTCAATAAATTTTTATGGGATGCTTTTTATATACGAATATACTGAAGCATAGGGAGGGGCCAATCATAAGATTAATGTTAAAGGAAAATGGTCATGTCCCAAGAAAGCAGCAACCAAATCTCTCATATCTGCCATTATATTAAGAATTACATTTCACCTATCCTAAATATATATGCACCCAACACAGGAGCATCCAGATTCATAAAGCAAGTTCTTAGAAATCCACACAGAGACTTAAACTCCCACGTAATAAAAATGGGAAACTTCAACACTCCACTGACAGTATTAGATCATAAAGGCAGAAAATTAGCAAAGATATTCAGGACCTGAACTCAACTTTGGACCAAATGGATATGATAAACCTCTATAGAATTCCCATCCCAAAACAGAATATACGTTTTTCTTATTGCAACATGGCACATACCCTAAAATTAACCACAAAACCAAACATAAAACAATCCTCAAAAAATGCAAAAAAATCAAAATCATGCCAAACACACCCTCAGATCGTAGCACAATAAAAATAGAAATCAAGACTTTAAAAATTGTTCAAAACCATGCAATTACACAGAAATTAAACAACTTGCTCCCGAATGACTTTGGGGTAATAAAATTAAGGCAGAAATCAAGAAGTTCTTTGAAACTAAGAACAAAAATACAAAATACCAGAATCTCTGAGACACAGCTAAGGCTGTGTTAAGAGGAAAATTTATAGCACTAAATGACCACATCAAAAAGTTCGCTGGGCATGGTGGCTCATGCCTGTAATCCCAGCACTTGGGAGGCTGAGCCGGGCAGACTGCCTGAGCTCAGGAGTTTGAGACCAGCCTGGACAACATAGTGAAACCTTGTCTCTAGAAAAAATACAAAAAAAAATAGCTGAGTATGATGGCACACTCCTGTAGTTCCAGCTGCTTGTCTAAGATGGGAGGATCACTTGCTGGCTGCAGTGAACAGAGATCATGCCACTGCACTTTAGCCTGGGCAACAGAGTGAGACTCTGTCTCCAAAAAAAAAGTTAGATCTCAAATGAACAACCTAATAACACAACTAAAAGAACTAAAAAAGCAAGAACAAACCAACTCCAGAGCTAGAGGAAGACAAGAAATAACCAAAATCAGAGATGAATTGAAGGCGATCAAGACATGAAAAACTATTCAAAAGATCAATGGATCCAGGAGTTGGTGTTTTAAAAATAAATAAATAAATAAGATACGTAGGCCACTGGCTGAATTAATAAAGGAGAAAAGAGAGAAGATCCAAATGAACACAATTAGGAACGACAAATGGGATGTTACCACTGACCCCTACAGAAATAAAAATAACCATCAGAAACTACTATGAACACCTCTATGCACACACTGGAAAACCTGAAAGGGATGGATAAATTCCTGGACACATACACCTTCCCAAGACTGAACCAGGAAGAAATTTATTCCCTGAATAAACCAATAACGAACTCTAAAATTGAATCCATAATGAATAGCCTACCAATCAAAAAAAGCCTAGGACCAGATTCACAGCCGAATTCTGCCAGATATACAAAAAATAGTACCATTTCTAGTGAAACTATTCCAAAAAATTGAGGAGGAGGAACTCCTCCCCAACTTGTTCTATGAGGCCAGCATCATCGTGATACCCAAACCTGGCAGAGACACAACAAAAAAGAAAGCTTCAGGTCAAGTTTGTTGTCCTTGATGAACATCAATACAAAAGTCCTCAACAAAATACTTGCAAACCGAATCCAACAGTACATCAAAAAGCTAATCCACCATGATCAAATAGGCTTTATCCCTGGGATCAAGGTTGGTTCGACATACGCAAATCAATAAATGTGATTCACCACATAAACAGAACTTAAGACAAAAACCATATGATTATCTCAATAGATGCAGAAAAGGCTTTCAATAAAATTCAACATCCCTTCAAGTTAAAAACGCTCAATAAACTAGGTATCGAAGGAACATAAAATAGTAAGAGCCATCTATGAGAAACCCATAGCCAACATCACACTGAATGGGCAAAAACTAGAAGCATTCCCCTTGAAAACCAGCAGAAGAAAGGGATGCCCTCTCTCACCACTCCTATTCAACATAGTATTGGAAGCCCTTCCTAGGGCAGTCAGACAAGACAAAAAAATAAAGGGCATCCAAATAGGAAGAGAGGAAGTCCAAACTATCCCTGTTTGCAGATGACATGATTCTATATCTAGAAAACCTCACAGTCTTGGCCCAAAAGCTCCTTCAGCTGAGAAATAATTTCAGAAAAGTTTCAGGATACAAAATCAATGTACAAAAATCAGTAGCATTCCTACACTCCAACAACATCCAAGCTGAGCGCCAAATCAGAAGCACATTCTCATTCATAATTGGCACAAAAAAATAAAATATATAGGACTGCAGCTAACCAGGAAAGTAAAAGATCTCTACAATGAGAACTACAAAACACTGCCTAAAGAAATCAGAGATTACACAAACAAATGGGAAAACAGCCCATGCTCATGGATAGGAAGAATCAGTATCACGAAAATGGCCACTGCCCAAAGCAATTTACAGATTCAATATTACTCCTATCAAACTACCAATAACGTTCTTCACAGAACTAGAAAAAACTATTTTGAAATTTAAATGGAACCAAAAAAGAACCTAAATAGCCAACACAATCCTAAGCAAAAAGAACAAAGCTGGAGCCATCCTGTTACCCAACTTCAAACTATACTACATGAATTCAGTAACCAATGGTACTGGGATCAAAACAGACATATAGACCAATGGAACCGAATAGAGACCCCAGAAATAAAATAGTACACCTACTTCCATCTGTTCTTCAATGAAACAAAAACAAGCAATGGGAAAAGGACTCCCTATTCAATCAATGGTACTGGGATAACTGGCTAGCCAGATACAGATGATTGAAATTGAACTCCTTCCTCACACCATATGCAAAAATCAACTCAAGATGGATTAAAGACTTAAATGTAAAACTCAAATCTATAAAAGCCCTGGAAGACAACCTAGGCAATACCATTCTGGGCAAAGGAACTGGTAAAGATTTCATGACAAAGACACCAAAAGCAATCAAAACAAAAGCAAAAATTTACCAATTGGGAAACTTAAGAGCTTCTGCACATCAAAAGAAACCATCAACGGAGTAAACAGATAAACTACAGAATGGGAGAACTTTTTGCAAACTATGCATCTGACAAAGGTCTAATATCCAGCATCTATAAGGAACTTAAAAATGAACTTACAAGAAAAAAAAAAAAAACACCATTAAAAAGTGGGCAAAGGACATGAACAGATACTTTTCAAAAGACATACTTGCAACCAACAAGCATATGAAAAAGAGCTCAATATCACTTATCATTAGAGAAATGCAAACCAAAACCACAATGATATACCATCTCATGCCAGTTAAAATGGTTATTATTAAAAAGTCAAAAAATAACAGATGCTGGCAAAGTTGCAGAGAAAGGGGAATGCTTATACACTACTGGTAGAGTATAAATTAGTTCAATCATTATGGAAAGCAGTGTGGCAATTCCTCAAAGAGCTAAAAACAGAACTACCATTTGAACCAGCAATCCCACTACTGGGTATATACCCAAAAGAATATAAATCATTCTACCATAAAGACCCATGCACACATATGTTCACTGCAGCACTATTCACAATAGCAAAGAAAAGGAATCAAACTAAATGTCCATCAATGGTAGACTCAATAAGGAAAAAGTCGTACATATACACCATGGAATACTATGCAGCCATAAAAAAAGAGTGAGATCATGTCCTTTACAGGAACATGGAAAGAGCTAGAGGCCATCATCATTTACAAACTCACGCAGGAACAGAAAATCTAATACCACATGTCCTCACTTACAAGGGGGATATAAATGATGAGGACACATGCACACAAAGAGAGGAACAACAGGCACTGGGGCCCACTTGAGGGTAGAGGGTGTGAGGAGAGAGAGGAACAGTAAAAATAACTATTGGGTACTAGGCTTAGTACCTGGGTGACAAAATAATCTGTACAACAAACCACGGTGACACAAGTTTACCTATGTAACAAACCTGCACATGTACCCGTGAACCTAAAATACAAGTTTAAAAAAAAAAGTTTCTGCAAGTATTCAAGTGTTTGAGCAACATAACTATATTTTCATTTCTATTTGAATATATTTTATTTCTGTGTGTAAATTTTTTCATATTAATATATGTATGAATAGGTATATCTGGCTATGAAATTACCTGTATATATCTTTGTGTCCTTTATATTACTTATTGAGTAGGTTTGCATTTATGTATATGTCAAATGTCAAAACTATATATGTAAAAAAAAATTATAATTATTAACATCTGCCTTTACTTCTGACACCAAAATAAAATCCAACAAAATCAAAGGTTTAAACAAAATTTTAAAATACAAGGAGAAAACATAGGAGAACATTCTTATAATCTTGGAGTAAGGAAGATCTAAGTAAGTCATAAAACGTAGTGATTATAAAGATGGAAAATTAGGCTGCATTAAAATTTAAGATATTTGTATTAAAAAAAAGAAATGTAAAGAAACTGCAAACTGGAAGCGTACTTAAAACTCACATCAGAAAAGGTCAATTTCCACAATATGTCTAGAGCAGTGGTCCCCAACCATTTTGGCACCAGGATCTGGTTTTGTGGAAGATCATTTATCCACAGACGGAGTGGGGGACAGGATGGTTATGAGATGACATTGTTCCACCTCAAATCATCAGGAATTAGATTCTCATAAGGAACACACAACCTAGATCCCTCACATGCACAGTCCACAATAGGCTTCGTGCTCCTATGAGAATCTAATGCTACTGCTGATCTGACAGGGTGGAGCTCAGGCAGTGATGTTCGCCAGCCGCTCACCTCCTGCTGTGTAGTCAGGTTCCTAACAGGCCACGGAAGGGTACCAGTCCATGGCCTGGGGGTTGGGGACCCCTGGAGAGTGCCTATAAATCAATAAGATAAATGTGCAAAGGCCATGACAGACATTTCACATACAATGGATATAAATATGTGGCATTTACTTACAGAGTACCTTGGTCATTAAGAACACAGGCTCTGGAGCCAGAATGCCTACTAGGCTTGAATCCCAGCCCTGCTACTCAGTATCTCCATAACCCTGGGCAAATAATTTTCCCACTCTATGTCTCACATTTCATGTCTAGTAAAAGAGAATAGAAACACTACCTACCTCATAGGGTCACTGAGTTAATTAAGTCAAAAATGTAAAGCACTGAGGATAATGCCTGACACATAAGAAATAGTCAATAGATGATGTTGTATATTAAATAAAAATCCAAAAACAATGAAATACTATTTTCACTCAACATGAGTGAAAAGACTAAATGTTAGTTTCACTAGACAGATAACAGTATGACAAACAGGCCTGCTTACAGACTTCCAGTGAAAATATAAATTAGGATAAACTTTTTGGAAGGGAATTGGCAGTAAATCCATTAAAATGTTAAAGGTATTTGAAACTTAATACAACAATTCAACTTCTAGACTTTTATATCCTGATAAACTTTGCTTATACAAAAAGACATATACATGTAATAGCAAAAGATTAGAAATGACCTAAATATCCATCAAACCCAAAGGAAAATAAATCGTTCTACCAAAAAGAAGCATGCACTGCTATGTTCACTGCCATGCTATTCACAATGGCAAAGATGTGGAAGGCAATCTAGGTGACCATCGGTGGTGGGCTGGATAAAGAAAACATGGTGTATATACACCATGGAATACTACGCAGCCATAAAAAAACCTGAAATCCTGTCCTTTGCAGCAACATGGATGCAGCTGGAGACCATAATCCTAAGCGAATTAATGCGGGAACAGAAAACCAAATACTACATATTCTCACTAGTAAGTGGGAGCTTAAATATTGGGTACAGATAGACATAAAGATAGGAACAGTAGACACTGTTGACTACTAGAGAGGGAAGGGAAATAGAGTGAAAAACTATTTATTGGGTACTATGCTCACTTCCTGGATGACGAGATCTGTACCCGAAATCTCAGCATCATGCAAAATACCCATATAACAAACTCGCACATGTATTCCCTGAATCTAAAATAAAAAATGAAATTATAAAAAAGAGGTAACTGATCTAATTAATTAGGTTGGGAACATTCATTCTATTTTATAGAATGAGATGCTTACTTAAAAAATTTGGATTTGGAATACTTTGTGTTAAAATAGAATACTTTGGGCCAGGCGCAGTGGCTCACACCTGTAATCCTAGCACTTTAGGAGGCCAAGGCGGGTGGATCGCTTGAGGTAAGGAGTTCGAAACCAGCCTGGCCAACATGGTGAAACCCACTCTCTACAAAAAAAAAAAAAAAAAAAAAAAAAAAAAAAAAAAAATTTTTAATTAGATGGGCATGGTGGCAGGTGCCTCTAATCCCAGCTATTTGAGAGACTGAGGCAGGAGAATCACTTGAAACCAGGAGGTGGAGGTTGCAGTGAGCCGAGATCCCACCATTGCACTCCAGCCTGAGCAACAAGAATGAAACTCCATCTCAAAAAATAAAAATAAAAATAAATAAAATACTTCGTAGTCATTAAAAATAATAAAATAGAGGTATCTGTGCTGATAAGAATAATCTCTAAGATTTATTATAGGAAAAAATCAAGGAGGCGTGTGTATACATGTATTTATTTATTTATATATACGTATATGTATGTATTTCCATTTACGTTTTTAAAAAGTGGTCCAGGTACAGTGGCTCATACCTGTAATCCCAGCACTTTGGAAGGCCAAGGCAGGTGGATTGCTTGACCCCAGGAGTTCAAGACCAACCTGGGCAACATGACAAAATCTAATCTCTAGAAAAAAGAAAAAAAAAAGCTAGGTGTGGTGGTTGAGGTGAAAGGATCACTTGGATCTGGGCAAACGAGGCTGCAGTGAACTGAAATCACACCACTGCACTCCAGCCTAGGTGACACAGTGAGACCCTGTCTCAAAAAAATAAAATTAAAAATTAAAAATGTATATGCTTGCATATGCATAGAGTATTTCCGGGATGATGCTGAAAAGTACTAGGGAGAGGGATTGGGCGTGCCTAAGGTAGGAGAAATACTCTTTACTTATACCGTATTTGAATTTTTTGCCACATGTAAAGTATTCCTTTCAATTAAAACACCTAATTATATTTAAAATCTCAATTGCTATGAGACTGTAGATATTAATACATGTAAATATACAAACATTAATCTGTATACACATTTACCTGAAAGAACATAATATGCAATCATTTGAGAACTATTTTATCGTATGTGTATGAAAACACAAAAACTTGGAAGAGTGTACTGTACTAAAGCAGTATGTACCCATACATACTTTTAATATGTTGTGCACATGTATGTTATTTGTAACCCTCCCACCTGAGGGAAAATAAATGTCAGCCTCCATCGAGGGATAATTTCATAGGCTTCATAATTTAAATCTATGATTTTAATCTTCACTTAAATTTCAGAACCTGATAAAAATGCTTTCGATTTCTTACATTTAGACAATCCCACTAAATTATTCTATGCCTCCTCTTTAAATGCACTAATACTTCCTGATATCTGATTTTTACCCTAGGCAAATAGTCTAAACTATCAAATAATCATAAATGCCTCCTTTTAAAAAAAAGGACAATTAAGAGTTAAGAGGCTGGCTCTTTCAAAAAATCCTTCTCAACTAAAGTTATGCTTGCCTAGTCACTGTAAATCAAAGAATAAAAATCGTTAATATTTGTGGATGTGCTACTATGTGTCAATGACTGTTTTTAGCTCTGTATGACGTGGATTACCTCATTTTAAACAACTCTATGAGGTATATCTCCATTCTACAGATAAAGAAACTGAGGCATACGGCGCCTAACTGGGGAGCCAAAATTCAAATCTACAGACCAGTGACTCCGGAGTCTCCTGAAAATATCTTGGACAATTCGAAAACTCCTCCACTTACAAGACGGTTTTGACATACCTGTGAACAGCCCCGCTCCTCAGAGTGATTTTTTCCGTGACCATTTGTAGTACATGATCCCACTGATTCAAGGCTTTTCTGGGGATAAGAAGGCGAGAAGCTGGGTTTATGAGGTCTCCATTTGCAATCAAGCTGGAAAACAGGAGGCAAACCTTCTGAAACAGCTATGCCTTGAAAACCACAACACAAATTCCAAACCAAAAGGAAACCACCAAGCCAATTTTAACTTGAAGTATAAAGGGTTTCAACTTACAAGATAGTGCAGGGCTCCTGAAGTGGTTTTCTAAAGCGAGCTGACACATTGATCCTGCTATGGATTACTGGTTTTACCTTTAAAAGCGAAGAAAAAAAACATAAATCACTAAGCTTGTATTAGCTTTTTTTTTTCTATGAGGAAAATCTACAGGTTTCTAGGGAACTGCCTGAGACTTGCTGTGCCTTTGTTAAAACCTTGCTTTTCTCGGCATTTATATAAACTCTGAGCTCACCCTTTAGCAATATTATAAGCCCTTAACAAAGCTCTCAAGAAAGAAAAATTTCCCTTAAGCCCTAGGCACACTGCTCATGATCTGTGCAAAAAAAAGAAAAAAGAAAAAAGAAATCATGGAGTATTACAAAAATATTAGGACAATTTTTAAACAATGCATTCTGAAAAACAACAATAAAATAATCCTATAAAATCTTGAGCTCTGAAGTGCTGTGCCTGCAGCCCAAAATACTGTGTTTCATCATCTTTCCTTTCCCATTCCCATGCACCTGCTTTCTGATCCTTGGCCCCCACCAAGTGTCTGACCTCACCCTTTTCTCTTAAGACTGACACAGGCAATTTTTCCCAGGTTTCACTTTCTCCCCTACAACCCACTGAATCAGGTACACTCACACCAGCATCCTCGATTCCCGCAGCCCTTGCAGCTGGGTGGATCTGATCACCTTCGCTTCTCTTTTTGCTTCCTGGGTCCCAGCTGCTGTTAGAACCACGGGGCCGCACGAGCAGCCCTCACCTGAGAACAGCTTTTGGCATCAAGCCATCAGCTGGACCTCGGTACAGCTTGCTCAGCCAGCCCTCCACTCCTCCCACGGTTCTTTTTTTCATTTCCCACAGTGGACAGTCCAAATCCTCACCTCTCATCTCACCTCACCCCTAACCTAACCCCTAAAATCCCACTCCAGGCACACACACACTCAGCAGGTCATTTCATTCCAAATGTCAAGAAATAGAAGCCAGTAGGAACGAAGCCCCTCAACCTTCCTTCCCTCCACAACTCACCTTATCTATATCCTCACGATTTTTCTCCTTTTGTGCCTGTCTCAGAATAAGGAACTGTATGCCTTTATGAAGCTAACTCCACATCTTGATTTTGTCCCTGGCTGTCTCTGCTTGTTCCATTCATTTAAGACCCTCCATCTCCACCTGGTGTCTTTAATTTCCCCCTTGACCTTACGGCCCCTCTCAAGTACAGCTGCCATCTCTCTCTCTTCATTATTCCTATTCCGACTTCCTCCCACCCTATCCTCTACTTCAGGCTTCTGCCATCTGGTGTCCATTTTTAACACTGGAAGATAAATCCCAACTTTCAAGCATGGCCTGCAAGAAATCCCAGGACCAAGAGCCGCTTACTTGATGCCCTCATCTCCCACCAACACTCCTTCCACGCAGACTCCTCATCACGCACTGAGTCGAACCAGCCTGCTCCCCTCCATTCCCAAAACATCCCCTGCATCCACGCCTTCCCTTTGCCCCTCTGGCTAAAACGCCCTCCTCATTTCTCCACCTGCTGGAATTCCATCTGCTCTTCAAGGCCCAGCTCAGGTATCACCAATCATTCCCCGCTCATTCTTCTTGCACTTTCTGTCTCAAACTGCTACAGCTACTATAGTATTGATTCTTGCACTTTGAGTTTTAGGTGATTTTACCCCATTATTTGAAAGGAAAACTTACAAATAACACTAATTTATAAAAAATAGGTAACAGTTGTGCTATATTTCATGGCAAGCACTATACTAATTTATATGCATTATATATCTTTTAATCATCAAAACAATGTCCTGAAGTAGTATTGCTATAGTCCCAATTTACTAAAGAAACTGGAGCTTGATTAATTAATTGGCCTAAAAATCACACATAATAAGTGGTAGAGTTTTAGTGAACCTGTATCTATGAACCCCTAACTATTTGCTATGCACTTTGCTAGTTATCTTAAAAATCAAATAGTAGCCCTAGATCATTTATGGGACTCCATTTTTGGTAGAATTTTGCCATCTCAGAGAGAAACAAGAATGAATAATTTTTCTGTGACTCTCCAGTGCCTAAAACAGTGCTTGGCAATGCCTATGAGTTGCACAATAATTGTTAAAATTTAATACTCTAGAGTACAATTTTTAAAATTTAATCACAGTAATATTTTTCATTTTAAGCACATAGGTTCTTAGTCCTACACTAACACGTAGCATCACACTAAGTGATGCTGACTTTTTAAAAAATGTTTAACAGGGCTGGGTGTGGTGGCTCATGCCTGTAATCCCAACACGTTGGAAGGCTGAGGTGGGTGGATCACCTGAGGTCAGGAGTTTGAGAAAGCCTGGCCAACATGGTGAAACCCCATCTCTACTGAAAATACAAAAATTAGCTGAGTGTGGTGGTGTGCGCCTGTAGTCCCAGTTACTCGGGAGGCTGAAGCACGAGAATTGCTTGAAACCAGGAGGCGGAGGTTGCAGTGATCTGAGATGGCACCGTTGCACTCCAGCCTGGGCAACAAAGTCAGACTCTGTCTCAAAAGAAAAAATAAAATAAAATGTTTAGCAGGTAATGCATGCACCTGAATAAAATTCAAGTGTTAAAGGGGGTGGAGAGTAAAAAAGAAGTGTTAAAGGGGGTGGAGAGTAAAAAAGAATTGTCCTTCTCACTCCTGTGCCCTAATCACCAAGCTGCAGAGTTAAAAATATTCCTTCAAAGATAGTGTATACATATACGTGCATATTATCTTATGTAGACAGCATATACATATAATTTTTAAACGCAGTGATGTCCTGTTTTACCCATTCTTCAGCACCTTGCTTTTTTAATTTAATAATTTATCATGGAGATTGTTTTAAATTGGTACTTACGAGTGAGGGTTATATCATTTTTTCCCCCTTTTAGAGACAGGATGTTGCTCTGTCACCGAGGCTAGAGTGCAGTGGTGCGATCAGAGCTCACCTCAAACTCCTGGACTCAAGCATTCCTCCTTAGTGCCTTACCTAGCAATGCACTAAGCACATACGGAGGATGCTCTGTTGTTATCTCTTCAATGTGTGACTCTCTAACCATACCCATTCTTGATGGTTTAAAATCTTGTTGGATTATTGAAATAAAGGTGACAGTTAATACGTTATATAAATAAATAACTTTAAAAATCTTGTTGCGTTGTCTAAAACATGCTACTTTGCTTTAGAGCACAGATAGTTATAAACAATATATTGAAATTCATAAAAATACATGATTGTTGAAATAATTCTGTAATTTGATTCTGAGTATGTAAATTATTACTTGAATTCAATCAAACCATCTGTTTTAAATAACAATGTTTTCCTCATTCAGCACGGCAAAAATGTTTCCCAAATGTTCATGATTAACCAGCTGAACTGAAAATTAATCTTAAAGTTGTATTTCCTGGAGTTACTATAATTAAAATAAATTAGTGTTTTCAGATACACTGAAAATCTGAAAAACTACTCAAAGTAGTATACCTGAATTGTAAAAGAAACAAAAAGTAAGACAATTATATAAAGTGATTCATACTTTTAAAAGCAACACGTTTTTATATAAAATGCATTTTTAGCAGGCATTTTAAGTAATAAACCACACACAAAAAAATTAAACCAAATCAACTGGGTATAAGAGGAACTTCTCCAGAGCCCTAATCATGGATAAAGGGTTGGTCAATTGGTGGTACTTTAGGGACATGATGGCTTTAGATGACGAGGAACATAATGATAAATTAGAATTTTTAAATCAGTTTTCTTATTAGCCCATACATTTCCCCTTGCACTTTAAAAATAAATGCTACTTCAGGCTGGGTGCGGTGGCTTACACCTTTAGTCCCAGCACTTTGAGAGGCCAAGGCGGGTGGATCACCTGAGGTCAGGAGTTCGAGACCAGCCATGGCCAGCACGGTGAAACCCCATCTCTACTAAAAATACAAAAATGAGCTGGGCGTGGTGGTGCGCACCTGTAATTCCAGCTACTTGGAAGCTGAGGGATGAGAATTGCTTGAACCCAGAAGGCAGTGGTTGCAGTGAGCCAAGATTGCGCCACTGCACTTCAGCCTGAGTAATAAGAGCAAAACTCCATCTCAAATAAAAGAAAGTAAAGAAAAGAAATGTTACGTGAAATATGAGGGTAATATTAAGTATCAACACTCCTAGTTTGAGGAGATGGACACCTAGAGATGGAGCATGAGGTATTCCCACTAGACCCCCGTGTACCCAAGGATGGAGTGAACAGGCTGACCAGCGTGTAATCTGTGACTATGAAACCAATCAAATGATAAGTTATCATTGCAAAATTCAAAATTTCACTTTGTACTTTGACTTTGTCATTTGGTGAAGGAATCAACACCAAGCAAAAGCAGGACACACTGATGACTGACCTCTTGCCTTGATTCTGCACTGGGCTCAACATGTCTTGAAAAACCAAATTTATCTGGATATTGAGAAGTAGGTTAGCCGAGTGAATTAGAGAGAGGAGTCATTCTGTAGCATGCTGAAGAGGCTGACAAAACCCCATTTCTAACCCCTGAGTGGAGGATGGATGGATGGATGGATGGATAGATAGATAGATAGATAGATAGATAGATAGATAGATAGATAGATAGATAGATAGGCAAAATATTTCTTAGAAATATTTCCAAAGTCAAAGGTGGCAAAAGTAACTTAACCATTCTTACCCTGCTGGAATGGGATGAGCTAGGAGTCTAGTGCAGAACTTGGATACAAATCACATGCTGTTTCCAACATATGTCTGTCTCTGACATCTTATTTAGATTTAGATTGTGTTTATGTCACAGATGACCATACAAAAATAAAATGCTTCATGTGAACCCAGTAAGTTTACGTAAGTAATTTAAGTCAAGTTCACAAATTCCGTAACAGTAGGTCAATATCACAGCTGGGTCAACATTCAAGTTAAAAGCTGGATGTATTTATTTGCTATGAAAAATAAAATCAATAAAATCAAAATTGTTCCTTTAAAAATACATATTTGGAATAACAAGATCAAGGGTGATAAACTGAGTAACTGACTAAAGGTCTGGAATTCTGAATTTTGACACTGATTGCCTAAATCCTTTCGC